AGAGGGTGGGAGAGGGACAAGTTGAGTGAGCAAAGAGAAACTGTGTGGTGCGGGGGGTGGGGGGGGGGGAGACTAAAAGCGCCATCAAAGAGCAAAATGTGTTTGCATTTCTAGGCAATTTACTGCCAATGAACATATGTTCTGTATTTTGCCTAACGTCATAATCGAGAAGTGCAAACAGCGAGCGATGTGAGAGTGTGGAGAGGCACAGCTAGCAGCCGAGCTGTGTAAACGCTCTTGGACAATATTAAGAGTGGATCATTTTGTGTATGTGTGTGTGTGTGTGTGTGTGTGTTCCTGGGTATATAAAGCGCATCAGTCTTATCTGTGCACGCACTTCTGACTTTGCATTTGGAGATACTTCATTAAACCAACGACATCTGAGCTTACAAAACAAAAAAAAACTACATCACTCACTGCTCTGCAGCTACTGCCAGGTGAGCACTTTCAGTCAGCACGTTTCTTTGCTAATGGGTTTACCTTTGCCTCTGATCCGCGGTGGCCGTCGACTGGAGCTGCTCTGCACGGAATCAGTAAATAGTAATGTTGACGGATGAGATTTGGAGACTGAGAGTGAACGTGGCACGGATTCAAATGGCGAGAGAAAAGAAAAGATTGCGGTTCAGACTTATGGCACGGTGTTCACCACTCGATTTGGCGGTTTCGTCTTATTTCGCAGTTTTGGGTGGGGGGATGTTCTGAAATGGTTTAACATGCGGCTCTCATGTGATGTTTTTGAAATAGGGTGGAGGGCAGGAGGGTGGAAATCCACTTGTAGGTCAGTCTTGTTTCTGTCACATTCTGACATTGCGGCTGACAATCGCACTTTTACTGTTAACTTGCACTGTGCAGTTGTACAGCCTGGAAATCCGAACTACACGCAACAGTGAGGGTTTAATGTTTCACCAGGTTAAAACAAATATCACTCGACCATCGAGCAAACAGGAATGCGTTCCCCACCCTTCCAAGTGCTAATATTTGAAAGCTGGGTTATCCCACTGCCCCTATCTCTCCCTCTCGTCTCCCCCGCTATCGCACGCCCTTACGTCTCCCTGCATTTGATTGACTGCACTGCCGCAGTGTGACAAAGCAAATGACTGAGCGAGTCCCACGGAGCAGCCATTAAAACCAAAACAGACAGAAGTCACCTATCTAAGGTGTATCGATGTGTAGCACCCACGCTGCGCGGGAAGGGGGTCTGTTGGTGCTAGTGCGGGAGTGGAAGTCAAGGCACTTTCAATGTAATGGGACCGCCTGGTTAGTCCCGATCGGAGATTGTCAGATTCTTAAATTGTGTTTATGTGGGAGAGAAAGAGCTCAAACGACATGTGAAGTTTGATCGTTGTTCATGGAAAGACATATAAACTAACAATTACTTACACAAATAGTCTGAAGAATGCAAAAATATCTCCATACTCTGACCTTTATGTGGCCATGATATAGCTAGGACCTGTGTTAAATGTGACAGCTCTGCCATTGGAAACAATTGCATTAATAGAGATTAAACAATTCCACACGGGAGTTTAATTCAAATGCTTCACAGCACTTGAGTGAAATGTGAGGATATTCATAAATGTGTCCCTTATATACGCGTGGTGACGTGCACCGGTTTAGCACTTTTGAACGCCCTGAGTCTGTAACGTTATATAGTATTGGGTCCGTGTCTCTTTGATAGTGACCCAATGGTCTGTTAATATGCACGACCCTATCAATTGAACAAACCTAGAGAGGGATTTCGCCGTCGGCGCTCCTTGCTAAATATCACGCTCTCCCTCTTGTCCCGCAATCAAACCTTCTATTAAAGATGACTCTAAGCTCCTATTGTGACAGTTCTCGTTCGCCAGCGCACCAGGAGCCGAGTGCAACTCTTGGCTTTGGAGGACGCCCGTTTCAAAGTGGTCATTACATTCCAGATCGAAATCCCGTGCGTTTGGAGGATGTGTTCGAACTGCGATCTTTGCGATTCAGTTCGCAGTGTGTCTAATGAAATGGGGTCCAAACTCAAAACATTTTTTTTCTGACCAGAGCTAAGCTGAAAACTAATTGTTAGGTTTTCCTTTCACTGCCTTCTTTTTTAACCCCTTTCTCCACGAATTTGGCTCCTTCTTCCTGTCAGAATCTCCACAAATCTCCCATCACCCGAACTCTGCAACATTATTTGCAGGAAGCAGATGTTTTGCTGTAAAGTTTTTTGCACTTTTTTTTTAAAAATGTAAGTAAAACTTCACGTTATTTAAAAGGGGTGCGCGGACTCAGTGTCAGATCGTGCAAATAACCCGGGGCGCGTTTTACTTGGATAACTTCCCAGCTTCGACCTTCGTTTACCAACCAACCTGCACTACCCATAGAAATGGTATTGGAAATAGGCAGTAAATCGTTCACAGGACTTTTGCTTTTAAAATCTCACAGAAAGCATTAATTAAATGTCGGCACGCATGGATTTAATTTATCGGTTTTCGGGAAGGATAAATATTGGGAATTAATCGTTTTAAAGTAAAACGCTACCGCTTTGATTTAACAAATAAAAGAGGGGAGATCACCCCGGAGGGGAAAGGTTTGGGGGAGGGGGGGTGGAGAGGGGTGGTTGTAGATGGAGAGTCAAATCCTGATGTGACATGTTTAATTATTAGCGAAAATGATAGAATAAAGCGAAAAGCTTTTGCCTTTGAGGGACAAAAAATGTTTTATTTTCGAATGAAGCATTAGCAAATGAGGCGCGAAAGTCAGGGCCGGAGGCGTTGTTCAATCGGATTATAGAATGGTGTTTTGTCAGGGTTGGAGGTGATATCAAAACGCACTCCTCACAGAAACTTCGTTAGGAGATAACTCCGCGTTCTTCTTGAATAACCCAGCCCGGAATTGTCCCTTTTTTAAAAAAAAGCTTATACGTTTAGTTATTTATTTGTTTTCCTTTTTTTTATGTCCCTAGTCCCTTATCCTCTGGGAAAATTAACCCGGCTTAATTTATTATTGGAGTGTATTAGGTTCCAGCGTGCAAACTAAATAGCCCTGAGGGATCACATGTAAATCCCAAATATCAGGCCCTCTAATATCACCTTAGGACCTATTTCACTGCATTGTCACGCTGGGAGCCCTTTGATAACTGGTCCTCAATCCTATTCTGCAGAACAAGCAACTAACTGTATCTGAAGACCAATGCCAATTATCTCCTTTTAACATGTTAGCCTGGACGATTATTACCTTCACTGTCATTGTTCTATTCTAACGTTAATTCTATTTATCCGTACCCAAAAAAGCAGGTTGGCCAGGAGACGAGTATCTGAATTTTGAAGGACATGTAATGACAGTAAAGATTAAATATTCAGAAATTAAATTGAGCATTTTCGCATCAAAAGGTCTCGAGATTTAGCCTTTAAGAAAATGTAACCGACGCAACTCCTTCAAACAGAAATCAAATGAAGGATCTGTGTACCGGTTAGATTACTGTTTATTGAAGGTTTCGAGCCAGGGCGAATTTGCAGCGCATAATCCGTTCCACACTTTCATTAAACGAAAAGATTGCCACGAGGTCCTGTAACTGTGAAAACTGGGCGCCCACATATTCACTGGCCAAGTGGGCTAATTGCCTGTACATGCTATCTATATTCTCAAAATAAAACAATTATATTTTATGAACTTACAGATCTTTACTCATGGGAACGGATTTTACATTTTTTTTTGCAACTTTCTGCTATTTAATAGCGACAGCGAGGACAAAAGGATTTGGAACGGATAAACTGGTTTTAACTATAAGATAAGGCCTGCCGCTTTCAATGGTTTTCAGAAACCGGTGAATGTCTGTGTAAATATTCAATGATTTCTCCAGGTCCGGCGTTTATGTTATACGTAGGATCTTTTTCACTTTTTGCCATCCTAACATTCATCAATTTAAAAAGAATAAATCTGTGCGATAGGAAATGATGGTGAGAAATATTTAGGATCCAAAGAGTTTAATTCCATCTCTCTCCATCCCCATCACCTTTAGACAGCATCGCATGGACAACCCTCCCGAAAGCAATGTTAATTAACGACCGTAACTGCTGATTGGAATTGTCAGGTTAACATGAATCGGAGTTATTCACTAGTCTTCAATACTATAATCCCAGTCCATTATTAAATTATTGTAGTAGAGGCAACTGGAGACCTCCAGTTCATTAAACGTGTGCAAGTTGATTGTATTACGCCGAACCGAAATATCCCAAATTTAATTAATAAAATACAGCTACTTGCCACATTGACCTGGAGCATCTCTTCAAGATCATTACTTCCAACGCTGTGCTAAAGCCTAGCCAAATGCGTAAAGGTATGTTCCTTCGTTTGGCTTTGGTTTGGGTGAAAACAACTGCTTGTCTTCTCTCTCCACTCAGCAACTCACCATTTCAAAAGTTAGTTGTGCCGCTCAGTCACCAGGACTGGAGCAGACAGCCTGCCCGTTCGGCTCCAGTGAAAAGGCACATTCTGGCGAGCAGAGGTTTTAATCTACCTGCGAAAGTAAACAGGTAAACACAACTAGAGGGTACTTGAGCTGAAGTACGGCCACTTATCCTGTGCACATTTACCGCTTCTTTTCAGACTCTTGTTAGATTGTTGAAATAGGCCCTCGATCCTATCAGTCTCTTCAGCGGGGGATTAAGATTTTGTGTAAAGGTCACTTATCTCTCCTTGTTTCAGAGCTCACCCCGGAGAGCAAGACACAGTTCAAGTCCAGCACACAATGTGAAGATCCACAGTCCTCGCTGCACTTTCCACCATCTCCCCATCCTCAGCTCTTTTTTCTGCTGTTTAACACAAACTATCTTATGCATCCATGGTTAACTGTGTCCTCGCCAATACTCATATCCCGCCTTTTGGGCAGGAGTTACAGAAGTGTAGCAGGGAGGCAAAGGCATACCTTAAAAGAAACATGTAACTAGTCAATTATCGTTGTTTCTTTTTAAAAGTAACAGACTTTAAAAAGGAGAACCCATTCAGAAAGAATTAAGACAAAACCCCCTGCAACAACATTTAGAGCCGATGCAATATCTTGTGCGCGTGTGTGTGTGTGAATGTTAACTGCAGATTCCAAAGTTTTCAATATTCACCAGGCAAACTGTAGAGACATAGATGGACTTTGGAGCTTGGGATAGTTTGCTGCAATCGTGGGTAGAGATCAGAAAATTGAAAGGAGCTTGATCGATAGCAGGTGTAGCAGGAGAAGGTTCAGATGCGGTGTTAGCAATGTAACAATGTATCAACAAACTTGATCAGATGTCTTCAGTACGTGAGCTTTTTAATGGAGCTCTTTCTCTCCCCACCCCCTGCCATCCAGTGATGAATGGTTAATCAGTCAGGAAACATTGCTTCCTTACCCCCAACCCACCACCATACTACCTCCCCAGAAAAATAAAAAACCACTCTTTGGTGACAAAATCACTTATCACCCGGTCTACATAAGGCGCTGAAACACAGAGTTCAAAGGATACGCCATAAATACCACTTTTTCCTAGCTGCTAGCCGTTCTGATGAAGCGTCACTGGACTCGAAATGTTAACTTGTGCTTTCTCTCCACAGGTGCTGCTAGATATGGTGAGTTTCTCCCGCAGATTCTGTGCTTGTTCCAAAAGAAACAGGATTATGGTCATGATGTGCACGTGGCAATGAGATAGTTGAAGTTTCCGCGTCTTGGAACATCTCATTATTCCAAAGCATAAAATTCTCCTTTATATTGCTTTTCTTTAAAAATAAACCCTTGTACAAAACCAGACTTAAAGATTACTTTTGGCCCTTTGCTTGGGACCATTCACAATCGATTAAATATTCTACTCTGCGATTTACTGCTGTTGCCCTGAGTAATTGCTCTTTAAACCCTGATCATGACATGGAGGAGGGAAAAATGGATACAGTGACAGCCAACTTCTGTGCAATTAATGGATTGTATGTTTTTTTTTAAAAAAGACATACAGCGAAACGTATGATGTGTATAAATAGATAGACGACTCAATGGTTTGCTCAGCAGTGATTTAAGCTGGTGAAACGACAAAAGAAAGAAAAATGAGCAAGATGTGAGAAATAGCCTTCTCTATCAGGTTCAATATCTTGCAAGACTCTGGACTTTGAGCTTGAAATCTTCTGCTTAAAGTTGCTCCTAATGGTTTATGTGTACACAGAACGACCGGATAACTGGGCAGTTCTATACTGAGATGCAGATAATTACTGGATAAATAAACGCACCGCACATGGAATTTGCTGTGTCCAAATTTGCACACTCCTGCTCCCTGATTATTGGAATGAACAGGGCACTTTGTACAAACTCAGTTTATCGATAATCCCAAACTGTAGTCTAGCGATTGCTTGTTTGTCATTCCAAGCATTTAACATCGACATAAATTTTCATATTTCAATGGTGTTAAGGCGATGGAATGACAGCCCCCCACACACACCTCTTATTGTCATAGACGAATGATAATGTGTCATTACAAATACCCCTATTGAAATAACTGCACACCGCGCAGAACGGAGAATCTGATTGTCCAGGATACTGGTTCCAAGTCCTAGTGCCAGATAAAACCATCGATTCTCTAATCGAAGATGTTCTGAGTCAATTCATGGGCATGGAGGGAAGGAGAGGGAGAGACAGAGTGGGAGGGTTGGAGGTGGGGGAGAAAGAGAGAGCGTTAACATGAAGGCGTTGCCTTAATATTGTGGCAGGGTTCAAAACTGAATGAAGAGATAGTCTATTGAAAGCAGTTGAATGCCATGACAACTAGGAGCAACCTCAGATTTATTCCAAACAGTTAGAACACATTGCACCAGGGCGTCAATCATCTATTATGTCGCGACTGAAATAAATGCAAAAACTGGCCTCGGACAAAGGCTTCCAACAGGAGCCGGACATTTGTCTACATTTCCGCCATTGTCCGCAGCTTAGCAATAGGTTTGTATCTGTGTTTGCCTGGGTTCGACCACCCAAGATGCGCCGAGGAGTTGGTAAAAACCTGCAGTATTGTCACCCAAATCACATACTGGATGAGCGGCAGAGAGTGAGAGAGAGAGAGAGAAATCAACTGATCAACTCTTATAAATCGTTCGCCTGTATCACCGCAGCTCCACACGGCTATTGAGTTGGGATTTCTAGCAGGGGGAGGGGGCATACCCTTTATATTAAACAAAAATGCCCGCAAATTCCCCAGTACCTTTGATTTCTTTTTTAACGATCTTGAGAACGTTGCGAGAAATTAAAGACCTGATCAAATCCCCCTTGAGTGAGCTACTTCCCCCCGCCTCGGGTTAGATTTCGTATGTGCTGGGGATGGAGTGAATAGACTGGGGCTCCATCTTGTTTAATGCATGACATTAAACAAGTTGGACAATAATCTAATCGTGACTTTGACGAAAACAAACCAAACCCCCACCCTCATTTCTTTTTTGGAATTGGGCTCGAAGGAAGAATGACGAATTGGCGAGGTAACAAAACAAAAAGTTCTCCTATCTTGTAGGTTGGAACTATAATCTCGCTCCAATTCGCAAATTCGCCCATCTGTTATCCAAATGGTAATGTTACTGCATTTACAAAATATACCTGCTATTTGATTCAAATTGCTGGAACCAGAGCGCTCAGAGTTCTCTCTCTCTCTCTGGTGCAGAGACAGAACTCTTTCCCGGCATATTGCCTGTATTTTTTTTCTCTCTCTTGCCGTGAAAAGCCAGGAATAAATGCAAAGCACTTTCTAGAGCAATTTGTTAAATAGCGTTTTCAAGTACGCGGAGTATTAAGCTACTTGGAGGTTCTTTGTATGCAAATCGAGCCTTAAATATTTTTAAAAAAGGGAGTCCTTCCGATCTTTATAATTAATTGACACGTTAGCCTACTCATCGGAGCTTGGAGCACCAATAGTGAAGACTCAGTTATCTCTCCCACCTCCTCCTAACAGCTCCCCCCCCCCACCCTTCCCCCAAATCCCCCCACAATTTCTCATAGTCTTCATCCACTTGACTCCCAAGACCCGCCCACACGTGTTCAACCTTTGGCACTCGTTTTGTTTTATATTTGTGTGGTAAAAAAAATGCTTTCTCTCTGTCTCTCTGCAGGTTCACGTTCGTTGACCAACCTTATAGGACTTGAGCAGAATTCACCATGCCTCATTCCTTCCACATCACAGTGTGCGCCGAGCCAGGGATTTGAACCGACAGAGAGAGCTTTGATCGTTTTTTTTTTGCTGGACTTTGTGTGTGTGTGTGTGTGTGTGTGTGTGTTATTTTTACAGAATGGTGCTGTTCGGTGAGCGCGGACAGACGGAGGTCGCACGCTAACTGGTTTGAACTAAATGGTGCGATTCAACAAGAACTTTAGACCCGACCAGCGTTTCACCGATTCCGCCTTGCCCACAGCTTTGTGTATGTGTGTGCGTGTGTGAGCGCGTCTCTTGTTGCAACTTTGCCTGCATAAATTCGGCCAGAATATGTCGCTGACCAACACAAAGACTGGCTTTTCCGTCAGGGACATTCTGGACTTACCTGACACCAACGATGAAGATGGATCGGCGGCCGAAACGGCCGAGGAGGAGAGGGAAGCGGCGGGAACGGCCAAAACTTCGGGTTTCGCTCGCCAAAGTCCCCTGGAGACCGTGCAGAGGCTTCCACTGAAGAACCCGTTTTATGACAGCACCGATAACCCGTATACCCGGTGGCTGGCCACAACTGAGAGTATCCAATACTCACGTAAGTGCTGAATTATCCTAATTAAACTGAAAACGTTACCAGCGGAGGCGACTTGGCCTGCTTTTTTGTTTTCTTTTGCGTGTGCTTAAGAGGGTTTTAGCCCACCTCGAAGTTAAATTAGTGCAATAATTAATCTGAAATGAGACAACGGTGTGCAAGGTTTGGCGTTCAGGAGATTGTAAGATGAAAACCAAACATGGAAAAAAAAGTGCGTTTTGCGAATGATTTCTTTTCTCTTCTTCTCTCCCCTTCTCTCTCTCTCTCTCTGCAGTGCACGGGATTTCTACCGCCGCTTCGCAGCAACAGAACTCCTCCAGTAAGTCTTCGGAGCCTTCGGCGGACGAGTCGCCAGACAATGCGACCGAGACTTCCAGCAATGGCAGCGAGTCGGGGAAGAAGCGTAAACGCCGGGTGCTTTTCTCCAAAGCTCAGACTTACGAACTGGAGAGACGCTTCAGGCAGCAGCGGTACCTGTCCGCCCCAGAGAGGGAACACCTCGCTAGCCTCATCCGCCTGACTCCCACCCAGGTGAAGATCTGGTTCCAGAACCACAGGTACAAGATGAAGAGGGCCCGGGCCGAGAAAGGTATGGATGTCAACCCTTTGCCCTCGCCGAGGAGAGTGGCGGTCCCTGTCCTGGTCAGAGACGGTAAACCCTGTCACGCCAGCATGGTGACCAATGCTCTCAAAACGCAGGACTTGACGGCAGCCACTTTTCAGACCAGCATCGCCTTCCCAGCCTACACCACACAGTCACTCCAACACGTCCAGTACAACTCCCATTTCAGCTCCGCCAGCAACCCCCAGTATCACACACACCCGCTGGTGCAGAGTCAACAATGGACTTGGGGGTGAACCACTGCATAAGGACTGCCATAACTGGGCTCTATAAATATCTCTCTCTATATATATAATGTATGAGTGTGCATGTGTGTGTGTGTGTGTGTGTGTGCGCGCGCGTGTGTGTGTATGTGTGTGTGTGTGAATCAGACACACGGCTGCACATAACATTCGGAACTGTGGTTCACCTGAGCTATTTTTTCGTTGCTATCTGTTTACAGAATATATTATTGACGATGAATCCGGAACTCTAGACCCGCGAATTCAACGTTCTTGTGACTTGTAAAGTATGTCCGTGTGTTGTAGGAATGTAATCCCGTCACTTATGTTCGTGTTTAAGAGACAAAGCGAGTGCAAACGAAATGACACTTTTAAACGACAACAAAAAAGACGTGCAGAACATTTTATCTCATCTTCGCAATTTTTTTATATGAAACTTGAAATATTTATGGGGCTTTGTAACGAAAAGGCGCGGCGTTTTGGTTGTGGGTTTGTTTCCTTGCTTTAAAACAAAACTGAAGAGGCAGGCTGTGGTTGGAGAGTGACAGTGGTTGATGGTGCCTAGAAATGGCCTGTTGAGCATTTCCTTTGGCTGCTGAGTGACAATATGTTGCGATGTATATAGTAGAGACCGTGTCAAACACTCGCGGGGAGGGGGGGGGGGAGTCCAGGCTTTCAAACCCAATGATATGAATAACGCCAGAGAGAGAAAAAAAACAAGGCGCCTTGATGAGCGATTTTCCGAGTTTTTTTTATATTGAGAATTTTAATAAAATGTTGTGTCTCAAAACAAAAACAATCCGTTTTACTTCACTTGGTAGTATTCAGCGGTCTGCATGCTTGGGGGAGACAAATGCTGTTGACATATGGTAAGATTTGGGCTCTGAGTTAATTGCGTCCAAATAACGTCCTTTTCCGTTACCGCATCTTGAAATGTAGCCCCATTGATTGCCCCTCGTTAATTCCCCAGCAGAACTGTATAGGGAAAAAATACGCTGTGGGTAATAATTTGAAGTGGTAAACTGCTTGTTGACAGAGGTAGACAAAGGGAAAGAGAGGAGAGGTGGTGATCAATTCTTTGAAACCATTTCATTTCTTCTCTCTCTCAAGAAAATGGGGAAAAAAAGCGAATTGCAAAACAGCCTGAAGGCAAGAGTTCACAGTAGCGGCGCTCTCTCTCCGTTCGCTTGCTCTTTCCTCTCAGAGGCTGAGCTGGGGAGTGGGGAATCACTGCTGGAGTAAAATAAACGCACTCACTTAAACTTAGAGTGCGCGGTTCAGCTGAAGGACCTTTGACGCCAGCACAATCTCAATTGGGTGACTTTGATGTTCTCGAGGGCGCCAGTAGTTTACTCAAGCTGTTAAACGGCAGGTAAAGGGGAACTGAATTGCAACGCCGCTCTTCTGCCTCGTTTTGTTTGTAGATGAGTTATTTAATTTGGAAGGTTAATTCCGGCCTTCTTAAAATAAAATGAATTAATCCCTGCCCCCTCCCCACCTCCCCCCCCCCCCCCTTAGCCGAACGAGTCTCCCAGCTGCCGAAAGGTTTGGAAGAGTCAACACAGTTTATTTTAAATATAACTCTTGAAAATGGTTTATGTAGGAAGCAGTTATTAACAGGCGTTTCAGTTGTATCAAGCTTTCTATTGAATCTGTCTCACTTCCCACATTGTGATATGTTTGCGAAGGCAAGGCAGAATGTGGTGAACGAATGTGAGTCCAGTGGACCGATCACACATCATTCGTCCATTTGTCTACAAACCCCATTCAAATTCTTTCAATTTGGAGCAAGCGTTGAAATTCGCAGAAACCAAATCCAGGGTCAGTACGAGAGATGACAAAACTGTTGACAATCGCACGCTCGTTTGCCTGAGACGTGTTCTTGTATTTTTTTAAAAAAAAACTTTATTTTGTTTGTCGGGAGGTTGCAGCGGTTCAAAGCACGTACAAACTCATCATTCCCAGCTGACTTTCCCGGGAAACCTACTGGCGATTTTCAGGTTAATTCAACATCTTCAGCGGGCCCCGAATCTCGGGCGCACTGCACTCAGCACAGCCCGTTCAAACGGCCCATCAGTGCCTCCAAACTGCTTGCTTCACAGAATTCTCCAAAACCCCTCGTCCTTCAGCTTCTGCGGGACACCAACTCGCCACCACCTTTCTAACTTCTTCTGTACAGAGCCGGCGGTTAGTTGGATATTTATTAAAAACACCTTCCTGGACTCCCGACTTCAAATGCACCCCTTCCCCAAAATCCTACAACCAACCACAGGACCTAGAACTACAACTGGGGGGAAGCGTTCGCCGAAATATTCAATCAGCTTCAAGGATCATTTCGAGAAAAAAACTAATTGAACCGGAGATGTGCTATTCAGTCCGAACGTCCTGAGGGCAGAAATATTTTCCCAACAAATTAAACTATTAATATCACTCTGGGAATCGACAACGGTCAAAACCAAGCTCTTCTTTTCTCGAAAACAAGCTTAAGCTAAACGGGAATTTCAATGTTCAACAGGCAGTTGTGTATCACGGAAGATAAAGCAAATTTTTCGTACCTTCTGTAACCTAATAGGACAGGAAGGGATGGGAGCTCTTTTGGGAAACTACCAAGTCAATTAAATGCATTAGAATCTGTGTAGTCTCATCCCCTCCTAAATTTCACACGTTGACAGTTGTGTTAGTCTATCTTTAGACAATATACAGTAGGAAGACAAAACAACACAAAAGGAGCGAGTTGGTAGTGAGAGATGTTAGAGGCGTGCATACTAACGAGGTACAAAGTCGGTATCGGCGTTATTCAGCTATTCTGAAAGAGACTTGTGCATCCCGAGATTGAGGGAGAGGTATGGAGGCGTTTTTTTTTGTCGTGGTTGTCAGTTGGTGCCATTGTCATTCCGTGTTCTACACGCTGTATTCCATATGTGCAGCTGGGCTCAGCAAGTGGAGAAAGGCAACCTCACAAAACCCAAATTGTGTCGAGCTTTCAAAACCAGCATTGTTGTCTCTGAAAGGAAGACAAATTAAAAATTCGTGCTATATCTATTCTGGAACTCCTCTTTCACAGATAAACAGGGATCCTTTCTCCACCCCCTCCTATATAGAGACCAGAATGTGTCGCATTAATTCAAAGAGGAAAGAGATGTGCAAACATGTTTTAACTGTTTCTGTTACTATGTAGTTACAGAATACATCCCCCTCACCCCAACCAATTAGTTTCTTTATACTTTGGCAAACAATTTTAACCTAATTGTTCCCCTGTATAAATGCTATCGTTTTTCTTTAATCGAATAAGAGAGCTAAAACAAATCTAGTATTATCGCCCATAAAAATGTGAATATTTTGTGTACGAGATTGTTAATTGAAGATCAATTGACCCAGTCGCTCCTTATTAGTCACGTTATATTTGTGTTTAAAACTATAGTGCACCCCCACCGGCCTTGAAATATCATTTCAATTCTCGCAATTCCAGTGTTTCAAAATAAGGGAATAAAAACAAACGTCGTTTAATGTAGAGTGAAATTTGTTACCAATTTGTAAAAGCCGCGCTAGGATTCACTGAGCAATGTCTGTGTGCGGGGTTGTCTGTTGTACTGATAAGTTGCAAGAAAGAGTGACAATAGGCTGTTTTGTGTGTGCGTTTACGGACACTGGTGTCTGAGTTGACTTTCGAAAATGGACAATGCAAGTATTGTGCCCCATAGTTCCAGTTCACGTTACCTAGGATAAAGATAACGCTACTTTCAGAACAGAGTTCTCTTTTTAAAAAAATCTCAAAAAACAAGTTCTCATTCAAATCCATTTCAAACTTACTGGCAACTAAATAGCAGTCAAAACTATTTTTTTTAAAATGATTATTTTCTTTAAAACGTCGCAAAATCTCACATCTTGTTCATAGTTTTGCACATTGAACAATACTTTCTTTCCTGTTAGTTTGAAGGGTTTGTATTATGTTACCAGGCTATCGTTCTTTAAATAAACCTGTTCCTGCAATTCTAATAATTTCTAACTCTACATTATTAAGACAGAATTAAGGTGCAGACATATTTGTCCTGTGTACTTTAGGAGTTGGTTGGAGGCGAATAATAAATTATATGGAATACATACACTGTTCATGAAAATTTGGGTCTTTCTATTGGCAAGTTATACGCAATATTAACAGTTGCATGAAAGATTTAGTACAAAATATATTCAGTAATAGAGGAAGAGAAAGGTAAAGATTATTTTTGTTTTGAAAGGGCATGGAGGATACAGTTTGTAATTAAGACTTTCAAAGATGGTTTACTTTTCCGGTAGTGGTCGCTTTGAGTTTTCGCGTACAGCGATCGAGACGACGATATATGAAGTAAAAAGGCTTCTGACAAGAAAACATGAAGAATGTAAATATAAAATATTAAGTATTTACATTTAATTGCCAGACGTGTTTTCCAACCTCACATTTGTCTGACTTGCAAGTGCTTGATTATTGTAAAACAAATAGAATATTTACACAGCATAATAACTGGGGCATGGAGTTTATTCTGTTGTTACATTTATTAAGGTGAATTATCATATAATTACCTAAGTGCCGAAGGCAAACAAAAGGGTGATTGCATTTGATTCGTTTTACACAGTCAATCTCTGCAAAGGCCAACATTTTAAGAGAAATCTTGCCCATTAAGAGGTTTGGAGCCGTCACGATTGAGTTATCAAAGGTTCCCGTTAGAACAGCCTTATTCAGCACTGTACAGTGTTGTTCAACACCTAGCGATATGTGAGATAGTACTGATGTCGGTGTGAATCAGATCGTTCCTTTCATTCATTCAATATTTTACGTAGCTGGAAGCTGGAGAAGTGCATCCAACACTCTTATATAACAAAGATCCTTTCAAGTGGAGAGAAACAATCTTCTTTTATTACCTGTCGTAAGCTCACAATTAGACTCAGCTTTCGTTTTTCATTGCTTGTTCTATTAACAAGGAAGTTAAGCTTCATCATCATTGTGCGTTCAAGAGCCTTTTAAATATATTTTAACAAACGCAATAA